GCAACGGGGCAAATGATCAAACAAACACAACTTCTATCTAGAATAGTGCTGCTGCAGTTTTGGCACGTACATGCAGAGATGTGAACAGCATATTGGACAACTGATTGCGACTCCAATGCAAAGCCCTTGAGGAAGCCTGCGACTCAATCTGTGAGTCTGTAAAGGACGACATTGGCATATTTGATACAGATTTGTTTATTATTGTTCAGCTCCCTCTCTAATCTAATGTTTTTCTCCTAACTCGCTTTTGATTTGTTGAAATGAAACACATCCAAGGGCCTCAAAACAATAGCATTATTCCCGATGTATTAGCATTAACTCATTGATGGCTAATGCACTTTTTATTGGGATTGTGTGCTCGTCGGTCAATGGGAAACAGCCTCAGGGAGCCTCATCTCCACTCGGCCTAATCTGAATGACAGTTACACCACTTGTCTGTTTGTGTGTGTGTGTGTGTGTGTGTGTGTGTGTGTGTGTGTGTGTGTGTGTGTGTGTGTGTGTGTGTGTGTGTGTGTGTGTGTGTGTGTGTGTGTGTGTGTGTGTGTGTGTGTTATGTAAAGTTAGCTTTTACTTCGTTAACACTCCAACAAAGCCCAACCATTTGCATGTGCCTGTTGTATGGCTCGTTTCTATCCGTGTGATTTACGAGCTGTTCCCTGAATATGATTTCTGTGTGGATGATCTACATGTTGACGGTAGGCATTGCTTAGTTTTATAATATGTCGGGCAATAGATGGATCAGTGTTGTTTTAAGCTAACAAATGAAAGGGACATTTATCTACAGCCATAGAATTAAGACCATTTCTCTATTGCTAGTGTTCAGCTGTTCCAGGATGCTTGTTGTTGGTCCTTAAGGAGCTTTAAAAATGCACTATTTAAGCCACACTTAGTATTTTAAGATTTTTTCAGATTGCATGTTGTTCTTTGTCAACAAAAACACCCCAAACCAACAATCTGTCGATCTGTGTCTCAATATGTTTTGGCTTCCTGTCTGATTTTCCGCCCAAAGCTCACTGGTTCCTACTTAAGTTGTAGCTGTGAAAAAAGGCTGAGTAATTCGCTCGAACAGCTGGACACTCTGGATTTGATTGCTGCTTGCACAGGAGGATGTCGTGTGTTTGTTGTTGACTGTTTACTGGGGTGGATTAATACACAGTATGGGTACTATTGAGTATTTGTGGCAGCAGAAAGGTGTATATATAGGATTGAGTACAAATAAACCACAGTGTTTGTTCACAGTAATGAAAGAACATGTCAAGCAGTGACATTGATTTTGTAGAATAATGGAGCTGTATTGCATGGAGGAACAATACATAAGGCTTTTGATTCACACCATGGGGATGCATTCAATGCTGGTTATGATATTTCTTTTGAATTTGATAGCTTAAAGAGAAATGTAGATATAGTTAAACAAATCTTTAAAATGTAAGAATGTTTGGATGCATTAGAAAGAAGATGTTTTTAAAGTATAAATGGTCACAAGGTCTATTTGCAGGTCCATGCAGTCTGTGTCTTTGTAAAGCAGAAATCCCACCGATGTTCTCCTGAATTCATCGAGTGAATTCACGACAAAATGGACATCGTTTCACAATCATAGCATCCGTTCAAATGATGGAATATCAAGATGAAATAAAAGAGAATAGGCCATGACTTAATAATGCAATGAACCATGTTTATATATGAAGAGATGCATGTTGGTTTTATGCAGCACTGTGAGAACTAATTGACATTCAGGAGCTGTAGGGATTTGGAAAAATGTACTCGAGCAACTTAAGTTTGTTCATTGATGATTTAATGAGGGAATTTGGGTGTCAGGTCCTGGAGGCATGGTAGAAAATAAGAATTGCGAACAGGCTCTGCAGAGGTTCCTCTAAACCTCACAAAAAACGATTATACCTTTTCAGAAATAGAATTGTCATTTTAAATGATCTCTGTCAAATATGATGTGCAGTTTGAGTAAAAAGACGTTGCTCAGCCTGAACAGGTCAAGTGTTACTCCTATCTTGCATCAGGTTTGCAGGCTTATGTGACATTTCATATGTTCATATTTAACAACACATAATTATATCATGCCATTATATTTTGAGAGCTGCTGACATCACATATTTTTGCTCCGATTAAAAAGCTTGCAGTTTCTCTCCACCTACTGTAGTCAGAAAAAAGTGAATGCCTCCTTGTTAGGTTAGATGTCTCTCTCTTTCAAAGCTTGCTAAAACACTGAAGGCTGTGGGCTGCAGTTTTAAAAATATAAAAGTAATTTGACCAACATGACAAGGTGTTTTTCTTTAATGAGGACGTTTTTATTTACCACTCAACCCACACAACATGATTACAGCACCGCTCCCCGTCACATTGAGCAGTCTGCTGATGCTGCTGAGGCGGAGGCGGCTTGAGCAGTGTTGATGGTTACCATGGCACTCAGTCTGTCGCATGCATGTGTCCTTGTAGGCGTATTTGTTTGTGTAATTGAAAACTTCCAAAGACAACCAAGGCATTGTGACTGATGTGGATGAATAAAAGAGATGTAGTGGCCTCTTGATGGAACACGGCATACTGTGGTACATAGCCATGAACAAATTAACATCATGTTCATTTATCAACCAAAATCTGTGCCTGAATGCATTTTGAAATGAATCATGCAGCAGGAGTGATGAAAGGAATGTGCCTGCTATGAATGCTCCGTAGAGAGGAAGAGGAGAAAGGATTAGATTTTTGGTAGCGAGCGGTCTGGCGCTGGCAGTGTTTGATGTTTGTAGCCGTGGGTATCCTGTTAAATACTTTCAGCTTTCAAGTGAAAACAGCCCTCAGGCCCTGGTGAGCGTTTGCCTCAACCTGAGCCTTTCATAGAGATAGATGATACTTCAGAAATAACAAGCTAACTATCCCTTAACCTTTTACATTCTAATATCTCTTTGAATGTTCATTGTGGACAAAGAGAAGAGTCTATTTACCCTTAACACACACATATGGGCGTTTGGCGCAGTGGGTTAGTGCGTTGGTGTTCGGATCGGGGGGGCACAGGTTCAAACCCCACTGCAGTCAGCGTGTCGTTGTGTCCCTGAGACACTTCACCCCAAATGGCTCCTGTGGGGATTGCCCACAGTATTGAGTATGTAATGGCACAGCCCCGTTTAAGCGTCCCTAAGCTGCCTCGCTGGCCGTCCGAGGCCGTGACGCATTTCCATTACAGTTTATGACCTGGGCTAGCAACGCAGTGTAGGCGGGGCAATCGTTTTTTCTTGGCCAATGAGATGTAGGAACGGCGTCACCTCCTCGGTCGACCACGGTGTGCTTTTCTTTGACGTTGCCATTTTTGTAGCTCCTCCGTTTACAAAAATGCTGCAAGCTTGCTTCTAGATATATATGCGACGCTAGGCGGATGATCTTGTGTGTTTTCTTCTTGTATGTTCCTGCCTGTGTACATGACATAAGCTGCTGCTCATAACCAATTGCCCCTTGCGGGATTAATATAGTTGTTGATTGATTGGCCTGATAGAACCACGATTTTATGGGGCCGGAAAAAGAGGGAAAAAGTACCCGCTAGCCGGTGCTACGCTATACGGAAAGGCCACCAAAAACTGGCCTGGCCGCTTGAGGACGATTAAGGACGCTTAAACGGGGCTACCCGCTGCAGTGGAAATGCGCCATAAGTCGCTTTGGATAAAAGCGTCTAACAAGTAACATGTAATGTGATGTGATGGTGGCTATAGCGAGAGGTATCACTCTGTAACAACTGTGTGTTTGCTGTTAATTCAGTGGAACTGTGATTGTGCTATATTGAAGTTTGGACCCAACATGCATGCACACTTCACTGTGAATCAAAACACATTTTCAGATTTGGTTTTAGCACCTGCATATCCCCAATTCTCGAGATAATCATTGTTCTGTGGGATGTGCTCTGTTCACAAAGTTGTATGCTGCGGAGGAAAAGTAAAACTGTGTACAAATGAAATGCTTAGTGAATTTAGATTTTGATTAATTCTGTGTATGCTTTTGTTACCCACTGATTTGAGGCAATCAGGGATTGAATCTTGTGATTTGATATTCAAGCACTGATTGTAGCCACTGATTGTTCTCACACTGACAAGTAATAGCCATTTAAATGACTGTGTGTGAACACAGGGATTGGTGAGCTCAGACAATCATCTTGCAGGGACACTCTGGCCGTGTGTGGGAGGCAGACCCTTCCCGGCAGTCTTACATAAGAACAGCTATAATGCCATCTAATTCAGCTGCTTTTGATGTGCTTCATCTCTTACTGAACATAACCCACTTAGGAAAACGCTCACAAACCCACCTCCCCCCTTTCCCGTTTCTCCAAATGGCGCTGGCACAGAGCTCTTAAGTGCCGTCCGTGGACATGTACAAATGTGTTTATTGCACTTCAAGAACTGTTAAGGAAGATTTGCCAAAGTCACATTGGTGTGATTACATTCACACTCACAAAGACATGCTGTAGTGCTATTGAGCCGGTCCTGTGTTCTTGTCTTTGCTGTTGATGATGATGATAATGAAGATCTTTTCCATTGTGAGTTTTGCAGTGACAAAACTCTTCATTTTTTCACAAAGAAACGCAATCTTTAGTCTGAACATTCCTATTTGTATGCATCACTGCGATTCTCCTGCTTTGTTTAACAATATAATTATATATAATAACACTATTGATGGTAAGTGCTTTGTTACACAGTGTGCAATATTGATCTAATGTCTAAATAATAGTCCTGGTTCAGCTGAGTGGCTGATTTAAAATCATCAGCTTCTATTTCGTTACATTTGAATGTCTTGCTGGTTATTTGGGGTGATTTCACACAAGCATATTTAAAGACGGGACTTTGAAACATAAGGAGGAAGACTGCAAATCATTTCAGTGTGAAGGAGGGGTTCTGTGAATATGCTGCCATTGAATGTATCTCCGCATTTGGCAAAGGAACAAACTAACAACTCCCTTTCAGCCTCCCAGAAAATAAGTCTACTTTTCTTTTTCTCTCTTTTTTTTTCAGAGAGCTACCTCGATGGATTTGGAGGCAGATGGAAAAGAACTGAACGAAGGTTGCAGCACAGCCGTCACCATGGAAACCACTGAACAATCGGAGCCGGCGATGGACTGTGAAGTGGAGGTCGCAGTGGCTGATTCACCTGAGCACAGGGAAGATTGCACTGCAGATGATGAGCCTGTTTGCTTAGACACAGACTCATCAGATTATCCAGGGGAAACGGCGAAGCTTGACAAATTATTAACTGACCTGCCAACTGGCACAATTGAGATTGACAACACTGACTGCCCTGAAACGCCTTGTGAGGCTCCAAATGAAGCTTTGATACTGGAATCAGGGCATGAAGAGCTCAACAGGAATGAGTCAATCAACTCCTCTGTGTCCGACACGCTCTCCAGTGCTGACAGTGTTTATGAGAACGAGGTACATTGTAAGAAGCAGGACATGCCAGAACAAGAACCTGAGCAAGAACAAGTCCCTGAGCCAGAGCAGGATCCCGAGCCAGAACAAGACGTTGAACCAGAACAAGACGTTGAACCAGAACAAGAAGTTGAACCAGAACAAGACGTTGAACCAGAGCTAGATGTTGAACAAGCGCAATTCCCCGAGCCAGAGCAATACCCCGAACCAGAGCAATACCCCGAGCCAGAGCAATACCCCGAACCAGAGCAATACCCCGAGCCAGAGCAATTCCCTGAGCCAGAGCAATACCCCGAACCAGAAGAAGACACTGTACCGGATTATTACCCTGATGAAGACCTAGACCTGGGGCAGTACCCTGAGCCTGATCAAGACCCTGAACTAGACGAGTACCCTGAGCCGGAGCCATACCCTGACCTAGAGTTATACCCTGAACCGGAGCCTGAAGATGAGGATAATAAGCTTTATCTCGAAGATGATGGTTACCCAAATGTGGCAGTCGGTGCAGAGGAAGACCCAGAGGCCTGTGACATCCTGTTTGAACCCCCCATTACAGAGGAGTCGATATTAGAGCAATGTATTAGAGAAGATGCAATGTCAGATGTTTCCAATGAGTTCTGCCATGACCAAGACCCTGATGATATGGACGAATGCCTGGGAGTTCAGATTGAAGCCGCTTCCTCAGACAGTGACACCGACGACAAATGGAGATCAATATTTTCTTCTTCCATAAATAAAGAAGATGATGACTCATATTTGGACAATCTTGAGCTGAGTGCTCAGGAGCTCTTTGTGCAGAAAGTTGAGGTGACAGACTTTCAGGAGGAAGACACCAACAACATCGAAGAACTCCATATTGAGGTTCCACAAGTGGAAGAAGTTCTGGAACAACCTGAGGATACTATTTCCTTTCCTATTCCTCCACAAGAGGTTAAATATAACCCTTTAGGCCTTCAAGGTTTGTCCAAAATCTCTGAAGACGAGGGCGAAAATGGAAAAGATGCCAATCCTAACCACGCCGCCAATGAAAAGCACATCGACGCAGACTCGAACAAGAAGCAACCGAAAGACTTCTGTGTGATACAGGAGACCAAGAGTAAGAATGTCAGCACGGAGCATGTGGACTTCCAGCTGGCTCGAAAACAGTGGCGGGAAATGGAGGAGCAAACTAAGAACAAGATCATCATCCCTACAACCAAGCACCCCAGCTTTCACGGCAGCCACAGCTTCATGTACACACCGGTCCGCAACATTGAAAGAACTCAGAAGAAAGCTTACGAACTGGAGAGCTTGAATCTGCTTGGCGATTATCCTCACACGCAATTCAGCCCTTGCTCAGAGGATTCTGGCCTGGATGATTCTAGCTACAGGTCCCCGTATGATGACCTGGAGACATCTGTCGAAAGGGAGATTCGCATATCAATGGAGCGGGAGGAAAACTTCAGGAGAGAAAAGGGCCTCTCCAGGATGGGCAAATCCACTGATTGTGCTCCATCACGAAGTATGCCGAGATCTATAAGCACTCCACTGACGCCGTCATTCATCATTACCACCTCACCCAGTAAGGAACCACAAAGACACGAAGTATCGGCAAACAACGTCATCATTCTCGACCCAAGAAATGATTTCACATCCAACCTGAGACATGGCAAAGACAACGGGGCGGCTCAGTCCGGAGAGTGGTGCTCCGAGGACATCAGCTCCAACGTCATCATCCTAGAGACATCCAACCTGATTATCCGAAGTGCCTCCGATTTCTCACTCAACAAAGCCTGTGAGCAACCCCAGGAGAAGATGTTCCTTAACAACCCCTTTTTCAAGCTGCGTTCAAGGAGCACAATGTCGCTGGTGGATGAAGAGATTAAGATGATGAAGCAGAGGGAGGAAGAGCTCAAGAAAGAGAGGGTGAATATGTACGGGAAAGACAGGTTCGATAACGAAAGGATATTGTCAAATCACATGGACACGTTGTCGTTTGACAATCCAGGTACGTCAGCGATATATCGACCACATTATTAAAAGGTCCCATGTCATGGCCATTTCCACTGATCATAATTCCATCGTTGAGGTCTACTAGAATAGATTTACGGCTCCACGGGTTGGTCCATTTGGTTCCGGGTAACGCATGACCGTATTGCGTCATAGCTCTGGGCGCGGCTACTGGCCATTCCTACGTCACAGTACCCAGGAAGTAAACAATGGACAATGACGTATCTCCAACGAGGCGTTTTGGGGAGGTATTTTCTGTGTTAGAGTTTTACTCGCTACGGGGTGTACTTTGAGGGTTTTGACTCTACAGACCGTTTACATGCATGAAAGACCTTCATAACACACAAGGGGACGGGTAATAACCGGAAAAGCATGACATGGGACCTTTAACACTCTGTAAACATGTGTGTTGCCTTTTGGTGTGTGTGCATTAAGCTAATGATGATGTTTTGATCTCACCAGTGAAGTGCAAGTCGTCCCCATCATCACCAATGAAAACGGCCTACAGGATGGACCGCTCTGCTTTATCCTGTGATCACAGAGTAAGTTCTTGTTCACACATTTCCATTTCTTAATTGTAGCAAAATGTAGCTCAGTAACTCAACAGCAATATGACCATACCATTACCATTGCATTGACACTCATTTACTTCCCACTTCAGTCTTATAATCTGAGAGAGGAGGTGGAATTGAAGGAGGTGGAGGTGGAGGTGGAGGGAGTGCTTTGAAAGCAGGTAAACAATCAGCTGTCTTTCTTAGTTTCCAGACCTCTACGCAGGAGGAAGACGCAAGAGTGCTATGGCTCTGCGCTGGGAGGCGGGCGAGTTTACAAAAAACGAATGAAGAGGACCAAGTCAACAGTTCGCCATATATGGCCATCAATTGTCATTGTTTTACTCATACAAGTTGAATGCAGTGTTGCAATTGTTTCATTTTGTGACAAAACCGAAACGCTCTGCTTCTGTGATGCTTTGGGCAAAATTGGCAAAACAATGAGAATGTTTTTTGTTTTTTTGTTGACAAAATTCATATAAATCTTCTACAGTTTTATTCTGATAACACTAACTTCTGGGCAGAGGGTGTGCGTTGTTTTCCTAATCCCTTTTGAATCAAAGCTGCTGCAGGAGATGACAGTTTATACTACTTGTTGGATTAATAAAATCATCTTTATTACAATTTCGACAGGAACAATGCCAACACACAGCTTCCAAGGTATGAGGATTTGGAACTGTGGAAAATGGTGATTATCATGCAATAATGTTTAATATCGGCATGCCTCCTGGTGAGCGATCACCTGCATATTATACCGTTTAAAAAGAAGCACAAAACCTCAAAAAACTGCCAGTAGAAGAAAAAAATACTTTGAATATTGACCTTGTTTTTCTGGGATAGGAGTAAAGAAATCTTAATATAGTACTCACATGCCATATGTACATAACACGTTATTGGTAGCTGTCAGATACATTATAATTGTAGCTAGGGTACGCTTTGATAGCACGAAGGTTAGTTGTGAGGGTTAAGGTTGTGTAACTGAACATTACCATATCATCCCTTAGTAGTTACCTATTTAGACGCAGAACAGTGCAACTTTATCAATCATTTGAGTGTTTTTAGCTCAAGTTTGGTCGCTTCTAACTTTTCGAAAAATGTTCTCATGCAAGCTAGCATTTCACTTTGCCTGCTGTAAAGTGTTGGACAAGCAGTGAAGACTAGCTTTAAGCTTACGTTAAAACAGATGCCGACTGCAAATGAGTTTGAAGAACTCCATATGGAATGAGCAGACTTCAGTTAAACAGAGAGCAATTTGAATCCCATACAGCTTGGCGGCGTTATAAGGAGTTTGTCTTAAGGCCAGTCTGGATAATGAAAGTAATCAATGAGTCTATCTATGACATGTGACTACTGTATTAAGATAGAAAGATTGTGAACCTTTCCTTTATTTAAAGCAACATTATGTAGTAATCGGTGGTTTCAGAGTGCTAGTCATTAATATTGGAAGCTGTTGTGTTAGACATGCATTTGTTATGATTACCTTACTTATTAATAACCAAAATCTAGCGAGTCGACATCTTTGCTTACACAGCCAAAACATCAAGCAACATCACAAGGCATAAAGCATGTTAATATTGCAAAGTTAAAAGCTTTCTGTACATCAAGAGACTTCATATATAACCCACAGGCTGCCACAGCACGATCAGAGAGAAGAACACATATTTTATAGTTTTAAAACAGTTATATAATGTTGCTTTAAAAGACGAGTATTTGCTGATCTGAGAGTTGTTGTTTTTGCTGAGATGCCTGAATGTTAGACAAATGTAATGTTGACTCCACTCTTTGCTTAACCTTTCTTGACATTATAAATGTAAATCAGATTTAAAAACATATTTTGATGTTATTGTATGTCTTGATACAGCAAACGCTAAATGCTCAGTGTATATTAATTGTATTTTCGTACAATGCTTATTCGCTGCAAATTAATATTTTAAGGTGAGCTAGATGGGCGTAAATCAGCACAATATGAAGAATATATTAAACCCATACCTTTAAGTTGAAAAGTAAAAATCACATATTGTTACATAAATCATTTAGAGAGAATAAATATGAATATGCATTTTAGAGTTCAGTTTGTCACACACTACCTGCAGTTAGACAATCCAATACGTACAGGTGAAGTGAGCATTGCTGTCACAGTGCTTTAAACTAGAGGACCAATGATATACATGCAAAGTGGACTAAAATCTCAGAGCTTTGGAAATACAAAAGAATTACATAGGTTTCCAAAAGATAGTATTTTATTCTCCATACAAAATGACTATAAATGAATGTTCATTTATATACTGTACAGTTAAAGGTGGGGTGGGTAATTCACGTCAGAAACACTTTTCGTTATATTCCATTGAAAGCTCTTAACATCCCGATAGCAATGAATATATTAAATGCTTTGACAATAAATACATTATAACATGTCTGTGGAAGCCGTGGCGCTGTAAAAAGCACGACCAATCATCTGAGCCGGCTAAAATAACTGGATGGCCTACCTGCCTGTCAGCCTTCCATCTGTGCACAAACTTACCTCGTGCCCTCATTGGTCATGTGCACGTTCGTGTGTGTTGGAGGAGGGGCTCTGGAAGGAAGTGTGAAGGAAGTGGCAGATTTCTTCTGGTTGCGTATTTTCAAATTCTAGCGCACTCAAGCTGGTTTCTCCATTCTTACCTACCCCACCTTTAAGATACAGTATATCTTGTTTTTTTTTTTAGTTTAATTTCATTTACATTCAACCTCCTTTCTTTTTTTTTTGTTACAGGACAATTGTCTGAAAAAAAAGGGATTTTCCTAAATATAAAAATGTATTTAATGATAATTGTAAAGTTGATATCATTATTTACAAAGCCTTGTTATGTTCAGCTTCTTAGAGCTTGTTACTCCTTTTCCTTAGATTGGACTGACCTTAAACAGCATTGTTTTACATTTCATGTTTGTATGCTTCTTTGTTCAATTATAGCTTACAAATCTCAAGGTTGCTTGGTGATGTTTAAACATTCTGTGGAAAGTCCCTGACATGGCTTTTTCAGGCTTATGACTTAATATTCGGGGGCTTTTTACTTTGTATTCCTCGTGCAATTATTGAAGAGACTAGTGCAACAATAAAAAATGTAAAAGAAGAATGTTGGCCGGCTTCATTTTGTCGGGTGTTGATGAGATGACATATCAGCGCGAGGGTTGGTGGCACAAGGAAATTCGCTTAATTATCTGAAAATGGAAATTGTTAATTCTCTGCGGAGTATAAATGTACTCAGTAAAGTCTGTAAAGACATTTGCATAACTGAACATGTAGGTACTATTTAAAAACATCCTTCATTATCAATGACTTTTAAATAAACTATCTAACACCAAGTGATAGCAACAACAAGTATCATTACATAGCAGAAATGTGTAGTGTAAAACAAATACCAGACATATTTATATAGATAATCATTCGTGATCATTACACACTTGCAATAGTTGTTATAAAGGCAGCCAGGAACGCTGTATTTCCCAATAGGAACACCACAAACACCATCTTCTTGACATTGGATTTCTGAAAGGGATTAATAAAAAAAATCAATACATAGAAGATAAATAAGGCTAACAAATAGAAAAGTACGTTTCAGATCTCACCTCTTCAGGCTGCTGCCTCCATGACTGAGCAGAACAAATGTTCTCTCTGTCGCTCCCTATAGATGTACAATGTTTAATCAGATATGTTTGAGGAGAGAACACAGAAATACCAAACGGCACTTATTTCAAATGAATCTCTATCAAGAACATTGCAATGTGGATCACTTGTACTCCACTGCTTGGAGAAATAACACTTTTAAATTAAAGTAGAGGTCATAACAGGTCCGTCATTAAATTAACAGCACAGAGAGATGACATTTCCAAGCTATTTAGCACACACAAACACACACACACACACACACACACACACACACACACACACACACACACACACACACACACACACACACACACACACACACACACACACACACAAATGTATTAACTTTAGTCATCATGCATCAGAACAGAACAATTGATTTCTCGGTCCAGGCAGCAGCACTTACCGCTAATTTAAACAAACAAGTAATACCAACTGTTTACCCCAGGCATAAGGAACTAATCTACAGCTACCAGGAGACATAATTAAAAGCGAGGACTGCACTGACGGCACGGGTGAACACATGTTATGGGATCTGCATAGCGTGAGCATCGTCATGTGTTAAAGCCTAGCAACACGTTTGATTTTAATGTCATCGCCACATTCACTGATGTGCTCGAGGTGGTTTGATCAGTCTCCAAGCAAATGTGTTTTGTTTCTCGCTGAATTAATACGCATCAATTTAAAAGAAGTCTGGTGAAATGACACATGTATGAGCTGTTTTTGAAGGTTCTTGTTTTCAGTAGCAACCAAGAGGCTCTGAATATTGAACTCAACTTAGGGCAATTCAAAGTGCTTTGCAAAATTGAAAGACATTAAGAGCATTAATGTCTCTTAATGTCATTAATGCTCTTAATGGAGGTGGAGGAGTCCGCTGAGACTCCAGGATGTGGTGAATATGTCTTCTTCTTACACTACACTCAAAACAACAGCCCACATCATTAAGACCACGTTCAGGTACTCAGAGACACTTCTTAGAGAGTTCTATATAGTACCNAAAAGACCCACTTATGCATCTAAGGCAGGGGTGGGGAACCTTTTTCCTCTCGAGGGCCATTTCAATTTTTTCAACATCCTCCGAGGGCCGTACAAATGATTGACATCATTTGTACGGCCCTCGGAGGATGTTGAAAAAATTGAAATGGCCCTCGAGAGGAAAAAGGTTCCCCACCCCTGCCTTAGATGCATAAGTGGGTCTTTTTTGACCCGGTGAGGTGGTTTTCTTAGAATATATTTGTAATTACATTTTTTTATCATTTCATATTCCAGCTATTCCTCAAAAAAATGTTTTGGATATCATGCCATTCAAATTTTAAATTTACATTTTAAGAAATTGTAGTTTACTACCCCAAGCTTCCATAATTGGGTCAAAAATGACCCGCATGCATTTTCTATGGAATTTTGATTTTTTTTCAAAATGTAAAAAAAATGTCTAAAATTATAAATAGTGAACAATTTAATACAAAATATTTCTAGTGTGAACCAAAATATAACACTAAATATTATACAAGTGATTTTTCTTAACCAAAATGACAAAAATGGCATAAAAACACATATTATTCTAATACGGGTCCTTGTTGACCCACTTATGGAAGAGTGTAGGGTCCTCGTGCATCTAAGGGTTCAAATGTAAGCCTATTGTATTGGTATATCACCATCATCCTCTCTGCACCACCTCCATTTTTCATTTCCATTTCAAACTTTCCATACGAAGCCCTGGTAAGATCCAATGAAGGTTTTACATACACCTGTTTTTTTGTCGTATTTGTTTTAGCTGTACTGCCCAATGTGTAGTTAACAGATACCGAACAAACACAACATGGGATTATGTAAATGTTTTTATTTTTTTGTGAAATGTCAAAAGGCGTTCCTTGAAGATATATATTGTAAAAGTTTTGAGAATAACTAAACATAACAATTCAAATCAACATTGTTAAATTCAATCCTTACACCTTCGGTAAAAAAATAGTGACACAGAGTCAGAGAAGTTCAGCAGCTTCAGAAATATATCTGACAACTGCACTTATTTGTAGTTTAGTGTGAAATGTATCTCTGTGGCCAGCAGAAGTCGCTCTTCTCTCTGTATCCACTCTATCTACTGTATGGTAAAAACATTAGTCTTCATATCCAGGTCTTGATTGCTCTGGGTTGACTGCAGCAAAATTAGAAATAGTTTAATATCATTCTTAATAGCACTATTGAGGACTCAGTGAGATTGTGTTTGAAGTACCTCAACTCTGTTTTCCATCAGCTGAATAAAAGTTTGGTCACTCGTGGGTGTACAATGTAACAACTTGAAGCCCTCTCAAGAAATATATAACAATACAGACCAGAAAGGGGGCAGCATTTAATTCCCAGTGCTCCTACATTTTTGGACAAATTTGACCCACAAATCTGCCCCAGAAAGACGTCCCCCATGACGTCAATGCTGTGACATCAACACCAAGCTTTACTTTAAATAGTTTCAGACACAGATTTATGGTCTTCTGCCCTGTGCCCTCCAAGGTACTTCAAATGTGTGTGAGTGTGTGTACATACACAATCTTATTAGCACAATTACTCATTGAAAGCTCACACCACAGATGACCCATTAGAGGAGCTGGTCTGATTAGATCTTTGGAGGACATTGTTGCAAAGATCTGTATATAAACGAGTGAAACAGATTGTTCAGGAGATGGGGAAGCTCGAGGGCTTCTTGTTTGCAATTCAGGTGGTCATTAATGATCATATTAAGAACTAAACATTATGAAAGGCTTCCATATGTCATATAAACGCTTTGGATTTGCTGCTGGTTTGGTCAAAATATGAAATTAATGAGACGACAAAGGTAGTTGTAGAGATCTATTAATTAAGTTTATAAGCGAGTACACGTCTTTTAATCAAGGTGGAATACTTTATCTTTGCATCTGCCTTCTATTAAATCAAATAACTATGCATACAACTTCAAGAAATTGTTGGCCTGAAAATAATTGTTGGGTAAAGTAAACAAAACACATTGCGTTGTGTTGCTAACTACATCAGTAGTTAACTCAACTATCTCTATTAAGTTTCTTGAGTAAAGTCAGTCTAATTAAATTAGTTAAGTTGGCCAAACAAAAAATTATAGGTTTGAGGGTCAAACTAAAGAATGGGGTCTCCAACTGAAATCTGCAGGGGCTAAATCTACATACTTGATTTCCCACATATACTGCAATCTCTTATTCTTTCAACTGGACTTTATCTTTTTAAAAGTAAACCCTTTGTTTGAATACTGATATTTATTTTTATTTCAAATATACTGATATACAGTTCTCAACGCAGGATCAATTATCTTTTGGTTATTTATCATATTTACCTTACAGAGTAACTAGGAGCTTCTTCTCTTTTGTATCTTATCTTTTGTGCCAATTTTGAACAGTAAAAATAAAGAATTTGTCTTTCTGTCTTCAAACTGTGCACCTCTAATGCATACAAACATCTAAATCTACTTCAATAGGGATAAATAATTCTGCAATATTAGTTTACAATCTGCATGAAGTCTTAAAACTGTCTGAAATACAAACTTTCTGCACCATACAGTATGTGAGAACGATATACAGTGAAATTTAACTGCTATTCTTTTATTTTATACTTGTCTCATTCTATTTTAGTTTAAATATTTACAAATGTGACTTAAAATCCGTTTCTATTGCAGCCTATCTTAATGCTTTTAATGTTTTGTTTTTTATAAAGCAATTTGAATTGCTTTGTGTTCAAATGTGCTAAATAAATAACCTTGTAATGCATTGCATGTGTCTGTGTCAGTCTGACCTACTGTAGAGTCGAAATAAATGAGGACACAAGAAAGCACTCACCAGTGATGTGAGAAGAATTCACATCCTTTGCTCTGGTAAAATGTTCACTACCGATACTCAAGTTTGAGTATACTTCATTAAAAAGTACTTCAAATTAAACCCTAGTATTAGCAGCGAAATGTGGCTTGCATATCAGAAATAAAAGGTCTCAGTGTGACAATATTAGATTTTGATACAACAGTATCTTGACCTGGTAAAGGTAGGAGTAGAAGCAGAAATTAAACCTCTTTCAAACTTGTTTTTACATGTTGTGATACACAAAGCTTCCTTGAAATGAGGCGCACAGAGAACGCTACAGTATAGCACGTCCCTGCTGCTTTATCCTAACAACCATACTGAGAGAAGTAAAGAGAAGGGAGCTCAGAGAAACATAAAAGCCAGCGACTGTACTCAGAAGAAAAGGAGAGAGGAAAAAGTGTGTGTGAACATTACAGTCATTGTAGTGAGGTTCCAGTGAGGGGGTGAAGGACACAATGGGATGTCATTAGGACACACACACATACATAACGGGTGGGTGTTGTCAGCTTTTCAACGCAGATGGGATCAACATGAATGAACCCTGAGAGAACGACTGTGTGTGTGTGTGTGTGTGTGTGTGTGTGTGTGTGTGTGTGTGTGTGTGTGTGTGTGTGTGAACGATGGAGAAAGGGTCAAAGAGGCAAGAATGCATGCACACACTCTCGCATTGGCAACACACTAAACAACTTTTAACGTTATATAAAGTGCAGAAAAAGGTAAATTAGAGTGTAAATCTATAAAGCCAACAGGGCTACACCTGTGAGTCAGTTTGAGACGGCTGCCATCAACTTTTCTCATCACGTTGTCATGGTAATAAGCATCAGTAGGCTACATGACACAGCACGTCTTTGGCAATCCAGTGATGAATGAGTTCAGGCGGTCCAGATTTCTCTGAGTCCTTCGCCGTCAGACACACCATAATGGTGCTTTGCATGACAAAAAGAAAAGTAGAAGCCCCTTATAGCGGCCGCCTTTTGTGTTTCAAAGAAGATTAAAAGGGAAATTAAAAGTGGGAACGGAGCTGGAATTAGGAGAGGGAGACGGAGAGGGGACCAAGAAACCTTGAGATCAATATCTTCCGTATAATTACCCTCAGCTTCCCGGGTTGCTAGGAGACCAACTGGAGATGAGAGAGAGGAAAGGAGAGATGGACAGAGAGACACACAAGAGCTGGGAATCATTTCAGGGTTTGCACTGATTTCCTTTGTGTTTTTTGTCACTTGCCATGAAGAGCCGACAGAGTGGTGAAAAAGTGAGATGGAGAGAATTAAGTGAAAAGTCAGAAATCGAGTTTAGAGAGGGAGGGGACGGACAGTAATGACTGGTCTTTGGGGGATTTGGTCTGAATCATGAATAATTACTGAGATATTGATACTGCCTTCATTTCAATCCCCTGTCCACTTTGTTCTTGCTTCCTGTTCCTCCCCTCGTCTCCTTGTTCTGATTTATGTTGCATTTTTTCATATTTTCTGCCTTCTTACTTTTTGTCCTGTTCTCTATCTACTTTGCCGTCATGTTACTTGATTTGTCTGTCAAAATGGGGTTTTATAGCTATAAATCTGGTTATATCAGAATCAGAATTGACTTAATTGCAAGTAATTTGCTTTTGTTTATGGTGCTGCAAACACTATAAGGACATGATTTTTAAGAGAAGGTCAAAAACAGAACGATTAGGAAAAGAAAATATAAAGAAAAACGATATAACATTAAAAAGAATAAAGACAAATATAAATATTTTTAAAAAACTGGAGGGCTGTGTACATTTTAAGAGAAGTAGGGGTAGTATATAGAAATGTTGACCGCATGATGTGCATCAATGTTAGTGGGGGGATATATTTTCAGTGACACGCAACAATTGGGTTTGAAAACATTTAATATTACATTTTCATTAGCTTCTTCTTTAATGAATTGTTATCAGAGACTTCATGTCTTTCCACTTGCTTCAATATCTTGTGAATGAATGATATATTAATTAAACACACATCACTATGATCTAGCTTTAGAACACAAACATCCTTTTTATGTTCATCCTATATTTGATGTTGAATACATTAATGCCTTTACTTATTTATTACCACCCAGACGCACTGAATGACAGCTTGTTGAATGTCATCTCATTGAATGGTAACATTATATTGGTGCACTGTTCCTTTAAATGGAGGGAGAGGATGGGTAGAGGGAGAACAAGAGAGGGAGAGAGGAACAGAGATGTAGTAGAGAGAGGGGGGTTGAGAGTGCACTTTCTCTTTGTCTTGTAGAGGTGTGCGGGGTGATCGGGATTGGACCGATTAAAAAATAAATAAAGAAGGAAGTTCTGAGGAATTTACTGAAAAGAGCCGCAGATTTTTCAAGGATTTTTTCCCATATTTTTTTTAAGGAGGATCTGTCTTTTCTGAAAAACATGTTGGACATGTACACAAATAGCAGATATCAGTGATCTCTGATGCTCACTTTTAAAGGACTTGAAAGAAGATAAGTCAACTGCCCAAAAGAGATTTTGGGACTTAAAAGCTCGACCAATCTAAAGGGAAATATACAGAATTCTATTGTTTTCCTCTGGAAAAAAGTTGAACAAGTTTCTATGGAAATACATTTTTTTTTCCTGATCAGTTTACACTACTTTAGACAACCTGTTGATGCACCTCCCAATCAACGTTGATCAATTACAACTGCCTCTACTCAATCAAGGGGGAGCGTGACAAAGGGAAAATCATTTCAATCTTTTTGCAGAAATCTACCTCAAATACAACTATACAATAACTATTTTCCTTATTTAGAAATAAAACACAAAGAAGGAGAGAAATGGCACAGAAAGAAGGAGGAGGGCGTGTCAAAACCGGGGACCATCTTGGGGCCAAAGCCATAGCAGGGGCCCCTACAGCAGGTGGAGGAGTGGTGGTGGAGGTCAGGGAGAAGAAAGGATCTCTGCGGGCAGCGATACCCACAATGCCCTTCCCTTTGGCCGTCATCTGTCTGTTTCTGAACACCTTCATACCGGGACTCGGTAAGCTGAGAATGACACTGCCGTCTTATCTCCATGTGTGATTTGTTTTGAAATTGAGAAAATGCAGAAAAATAGGCAGAAGATTATGAAAAGACAGCAAGAGAGGGATCCAGGGATGCCAGCCAAGAACAAGATAAACAAACTAGAAGGCAATCAGAGGGGAATATGCAACCATAAAAGCTTTGTGGAAAGTTTGGAAAATAAACTTGAACTGTCTCCAGCTTGCTTTCTAGTTGTTCCATTGCTCTGCTTTTTTCCTTCACAAAGGCAGGGAGAGATGTGTGTGAAAATGGTAAAGAAAGGTGGCCAGGGACTCCATTCACACCAGGCGCTATAATAAGGGTGTCAGGAATAAACAGTCTGCCGGGTGTTAATGCACACAGTGTAATGTGGTGCAATTACTCTGGGTATGAAGCTTTTGCTTATGATGAGCAACATCATCACAGCAGGTGGAGACATTATCACTGTAGACTCTTTGCGTTGTTATAATGGGTAGAAGTCCTGACGATGTAGTTTAAATATATGATATTAGATGCTTATTTGAGAACAAATGTCAACTGTTTCAGGTAAAGTATACACAAAGTTATATAAACTGGGAATTATGGCATGTTTGTTGACTGTTTTAGCTGTACAATGATACACGAGATTCTTCCTGTAATTTGTGGTGGAAATAACTACAGAGAATTGTAGGTCTACAAAGGCAGAATGGAGAGCACTTGTGTTGTACAGTCTTTCTTTGGTTTTCATAAGCAGCTTGACACGCGTCCTTGAGACTGTCAAACTTTGCAAAAACGACACCCGTGTGTAGAGCTGCACGGTAAGTTAATACAATTAAAATCTATCATTGTGTAGTGGGGGAACAAGCCAAACAGTATGACAGAAATATGAAGGACTTTCTGGTGTTAAAGCACATGATTGAGAAACACGTCTAATCCCAAGATAAGGTATTCTAAGAAAATCAGTTTACTGTACTGTTTCTGTGTATAGTAGGATAATGTAACATCCAGTAGCTAAAAAACACATGTTGGTACAGTATATAGTAATCACGTACAGTTAATACTCTATGTAAGTTAGACACAAACACATCTCTGTATGTCATACGCCATTCTGAATTAATTCAGTGGATCATTTCAAAAGCAGCTGAATTTACGATAATAAAAGTGAGGATTCTTTAAGAATATTGGTAGCAGTTAATGAAATAAAAACAATCACAAAAATCAAAATTCAGGTTTTTTGTTCTCTGACTGACATTCACATTCAACAGTCTATTTGCCTTTCCACCATAACTATATCTAACCACTGACTGCTTAGAAAGATGTCACAAACAGGGAAAACAACGTCAGCAAACACCATGAATAGTTGCCCTGAAATGTTAATATTTTATACAGCCTCCCCCCGTTTCTTTACAAAATGGTCCCAAACATGTATGTAGAGCATCAATGCAACACCTCGTGTGTGTGTGTGTGTGTGTGTGTGTGTGTGTGTGTGTGTGTGTGTGTGTGTGTGTGTGTGTGTGTGTGTG